GTGTCCTATAGCCCACGTCATCTGCATGCATCCTGGCGACCGGACCTGAATCGCCTAAAATTTTGGCATCCCATCAAAAACGACCTAAGGAACAATAATCATCGTTTCGCCATGACCGCTCCTCATTTTTTGGTATACTAGGGCCATAAATCTGCAATTCTGCCCTATTCTCAGAATTTCGTGTGTTATATCCCACGCCATATGCATGCATCCAGACGACCAGACCCGAATCTCCTAAAAAATTTATCGGTCTATCAAAAACGACCTAAAAATAATAGTCATCGATTCTCCATGACCGCTCCTCGATTGTTGGAATTTTAGGGTAATAAAACTGGAATTCTGTCCGATTTCCAGATTTTTATGTGTTATAGTCCATGTCATCCGCATGCATCCGAGTGATCGATCCTGAATTGCGTAAAATTGTCGGCCCATCAAAAATGCCTTAAGGAACAATAATCTTCGCTTCGACATGACCATTTCTCATTTTTTGGCGTTTTAGGGCAATAAAAGTGGAATTTCGCCCGATTCTTAGATTTTCGTATGCTATAGCCTACATCATCAGCAGGCATCCGGATGATCGGACCCGAATAGTCTAAAATTTTATTGATCCATCAAAAATAACCTAAGGAACAATAGTCCTCGTTTTGCCATGACCACTTCTTGTTTTTTGGCATTTTAGGGCCATAAAACTAGAATTCCGCCCAATTTCTAGATTTTCATGTGCTAGCCCATGCCATCTGCATGCATCTGGGCGATCGGTCGTGAAACCCTTAAAATTACCAACTCATCAAAAGAGCCCTAAGGAACAATAATCTTCGCTTTGACATGACAATTCCTCATTTTTGGCGTTTTAGGTCCATAAAACTGGAATTTCGCTCGATTCCAAAAATTTTGTGTGCGCCATCTACATGCATCCTGGCGACCGATCCCGAATCGCTTAAATATTGCCGGACCATAAAAAATGACCTAAAGAACAATAATCATCGCTTTTCCATGACTATTCATTATTTTTTTTGGTATTTTAGGGCCATAAAATGGGAATTCTACCCGATTTCCAAATTTCGTGTGCTATAACTCATGCCATTTGTATGCATCCAAATGACCGGACCTAAATCACCTAAAATTTTACCAGCCTATCAACAACGACCTAAGGAACAATAGTCATCGATTCGCCATGATTGTTCCTCGATTTTTGGCATTTTAAGACCATAAATTAAAATTCTGTCCGATTTTCAGATTTTTGTATGCTACAACTTACGTCATTATATAAGCATCCGGGCGACCAAACTCTAATAGCCCAAATTTTTGTCGACCCATCAAAAATGACCTAAGGAACAATAGTCATCGCTTCGCATTGACTACTCCTCATATTTTGGTATGTTAGGGCCATAAAACTGGAATTACGCTCGTTTTCCAGATTTTTCGCGTGCTATAGCCCACGCTATCTGCATGCATCTGGGCAACCGAACCCGAATCACCTAAAATTTTACCGGCCTATCAAAAACGACCTAAGGAACAATAGTCATTGTTTCGCCATGATCGTTCCTCGTTTTATTTTTTTTGTTTTAGGGTTAAAAACTATAATTTCGCCCGATTCTCAGATTTTCGTATCCTATAGCCCACGCCATATGCATGCATTCAGACAATCGGACCCGAATCACCAAAAATTTGTCAGCCCATCAAACATGACCTAAGAAACAATAACCATCGCGTATCCATGATTGGTCCTTATTTTTTGGTATTTTAGGGCCATAAAATTAGAATTCCGCCCGATTTCTAAATTTTCATATGCCATAACCCATGCCATTTGCATGCATCTAGACGAATGGACCAAATCGCTTAAAAGTTTACCAGCTTATCAAAAATGACCTAAGGAACAATAGTCATTGTTTTGCCATAACCGTTCCTCGATTTTTGGCATTTTAAGACCATAAAACTAGAATTCTGCCCATTCCCATATTTTCGTGTGTTATAACCCATGCCACCAACATGCATTCGGGCGATCGATCCCGGATCGCCTATAATTTTTTCTGCCTATCAAAAATGCCTTAAGTAACAATAATCTTCGCTTCAACATGACTGTTCCTCGTTTTTAGGCATTTTAGTGAAACTTCGCCCGATTCTCAGATTTTCGTGTACCATGCATCCGGCGACCAGACCCGAATAGCCTAAACTTTTGTCGGCCCATAAAAATGACCTAAGGAGCAATAGCCATCGCTTCGCCATGACCATTCTAACTTTTTTAGCATTTTAGAGCTATAAAACTGGAACTCCGCCCGATTTTTAGATTTTCATGTGTTATAGCCCACGCCATCTACCTGCATATTGGCGGCCGATCCCCAATCGCCTAGAATTTTGCCGACCCATAAAAATGACCTAAGGAACAATAGTCATTGCTTTGCCATGACCGTTTCTTGTGTTTTTTGCATTTTAGGGCTATAAAACTAGAATTTTGCCCAATTTTTATATTTTCGTATCATATAGTCCACGCCATCTGCATGCATCCGGGCGACTAGACCCGAATTGCCTAAAAATATTTGGCCCATAAAAAACGAACTAAGGAACAATAGTTATTGCTTCGGTTAAAATAGCACGGTCTAGCCAATTTTCGGGCTGGTCATTCAAAAATAGCCAGCGTTTGCCAAGTCATTAAAAAATAGGCACTATTTTGCTGCAACAGAGACCGGTTCAGCATAATATACTAGAGTTCGGTGCATCTGTGTATGAACTTCCAGCATATTATACTGGACCGGTATACTTTGCTAGCTCCAGTATAATATACTGGAGACCGGAGCACCGGTGCTCCAAACTCCAGTATATTATGTTGGACCGGTATATTATGCTGGAGTATTTTATCGGATTTTGAACAGTGCTTTCGTTCAAATTTATCTTTACATGAAAAGTGACTAAATTTCAATTACTTTTGAAACTGTGGCTATTTTTGAATGATCACTTGTATATCTGGCTATTTTTGAATTTCTCCCACTGCTTCGCCATAATCGTTCCCCGATTTATGGGCTATAGTCATAAAATCTAGTAATCGAGAGGAATTCCAGTTTGATGGCCCTAAAATGCCAAAAAAGGTGGAACGGTCATGGCGAAGGTTGACTATCGTTCCTTAGACCGTTTTTGATGGACTGATAAAATTTTACCCGATTTGGGTCCAGTCGCTTGGATGCATGCAAATGGTGTGGGCTATAGCACACGAAAATCTGGAAATCGACAGAACCGGTTGCCCGAATGCATGTAGATGGTGTGAGCTATAGTCCACGAAATCTAGGAATCGAGCAAAATTTCAGTTTTATGGCCCTAAAACGCTAAAATGTAGGTACGCTCATGGCGAAGCGATGAATACCGTTCCCCATGTTGTTTCTGATGGGCCATCAAAACTTTAGGCGATTTGGGACCGCCCGTCCGAATGCATGCAGATGGCATGCGCTATAGCATACGAAAATATGAAAATCGGGCGGAATTCTAGTTTTATGGCCCTAAAATATCAAAAAATAAGGAACGATCATGACGAATACACACACACCTTCTTTTTTTTTTGGGCAGACGGCTATTTAACTTAAGGGAAGTTTACCTCCTATAACAAGCTATTATACCCTATTTAGTATAAACCAAAACAATTTCAAAATTCTTATTAATTATAGCTACCTTTTCTATTTTATAGCAAAATATGTATTTATTTATACCTATCATAAAGGCATGAAATACGCCAATTATGTTCTTTCTCTCGCTCTTCCTTCTCTCTCTATCAGCAAGATTCTCAATCCTCTCTCTTCTCCATCAAATCAGCAGAATTGTTGGCGTTATTATCGTGGTTAGCGTCAAAAGCGTCGTTGGCGCCATCATCCACTATTGATTCATCCTCTTAGGCGAACAGATCTAGCCATGGCCAATAATAGAGGAAGTTTAAGATACACAATAAGATACGAGAATTTGTGATAAATGATTCAAAAGGACTGCTTGCCACGTGCTAGCACCCATTCTTCAGAATTGCCCTACTAGAATTCCCAGAGTGATCGTTTTTGCTTTTTATTTATATTCTTCTAGTACATGCGGTTGCGGGTGGAAAGCTCAACATCCTAATCTGGCAATTTGGTCTTGTTTTTCGGTGACCGTCCCTGGATTGTTTTAGAGTTAATTAAACAATTAGTAGTTTTGCATTTTTGGGGTTCATTCTGGTGCAATCCAGTATTTTGCTTGGCCGAAAAATACTATCTCTGGGGAAATTTTTTCTCTTCTTTACTAATTTAGTCACATACAATGATACAAATACATAGTATTCTATACAAATAGACTCAAATATATTATATTTTTTGGCATGTAATTATATATTCCAAAGGTCTGTATTTTTTAAATACGATCGAATATCACTATGTTTTGTGATTTTTTGTTGTTTGAATACAGTCAAATTAAATACGGTGGCTTGAATACAATGTATAATGATGAATAATGAATATTTGTGAATTTGAATACAATATATATAGTCAAATTGAATAGAACGGTATACACCCTATTTCTTGATTACCTCACTGTATTTATAAATACAGTTGCACGAATACATGGAATACGGCATAGTAGCAGCGAAATTTATGTATAATTTATTTTGTTGAGTTAAATTAGGAGTGATACACGCTAATCGATCCTCTTTTCATTATTAAACAACTGTGTTCCTCTATTTTTTTAGGCGAATTCACTGTTGTATTTATGAATACAGTAACGTGAATACCTCGAGTACAGTCGCATAACAACTAAATAATAGCTATAGGAAGTAATTATGTATATGAAATCTATAGAAAGTTAATAGTCACTAAACAACAGTAGTTTAGGTAAATTACTCTTAAATGAATGGGAATTTCCAGCTTAAGGTCTTGGTATATCAACTATGGGCCAAAAGGCCTTCTTACTGAGAAATTACTTTTGTATGCTTCTAGGCTTTGGGGTCCATTTAAGGCTATCAATAGTTCACCTTTCTTCTGGGCCACCCACTATCTATGGCACCCATATGGGCTGCACCACCCATCACCAACTACCAAAACAACCACCCCCACCCCCNCTCTTTAAAAAAAGGCCAGCTCAAAGCTAGCCAATGGGAAGAAGTAGCCATTACTGTAGCAGCTCGTTGCGGCTTTGACGAGCCGTCAAAATCCGCCACCCAATGCCGTCACAAGATCGAGAAACTCCGAAAACGTTATCGGGCCGAAAGACTCAAACCCTACCCGAATTCATGGCAGTATTTTGACCTAATGGATCGTATGGAGCGCGGGCCTTTACCTATTTCAGCCCATCCTGTTGCTATGGTGAAATGTCAACAGAATTCGAATTCGATATCGAATCTGAATTCTACTGCTGCTGATCATCAGAGGTATTATTATGATAATAATACTGATAGTGATGAAGTTGATGCCCTTAGTTATATGGATATGAGGAAAAATAAGTGTAAAAGTATTAATCATATTGTTCCTGGCGAAATGGGCTTAATGGGTATGAATGTGAATGTTGTTGATAATAGAAATGTGAATAGGATGGTGAAAGATCGAAACTTCAATGTTTTTGAACAAAAAGATCGAAACTTTGATGTCATGAGGGGGATGAGGAATCCAATGATTGAGAAAAGAAAAGGGTATTTTGGGAATGTGGCTCTTGATGATGNAGATACGAGGAAAAATAAGTGTAAAAGTATTAATCATATTGTTCGTGGCGAAATGGGCTTAATGGGTATGAATGTGAATGTTGTTGACCATAGAACTGTCAATAGGATGGTGAAAGATCGAAACTTTAATGTTTTTGAACAAAAAGATCGAAACTTTGATGTCATGAGGGGGACAAGAAATCCAATGAATGAGAAAAGAAAAGGGTATTTTGGGAATGTGGCTATTGAGGATGATGACGAGGATGAGGACGTTGAGGAAGAAGTGGATGAAGAGAATGAAGGGAGTGTTGGAGGTAGTGAATTGGCTGCTGAAATTAGGGGATTTGCAGAGAGGTTTATGAGAATGGAGAATAAGAAAATCGAGATGATGAAGGAGACAGAGAGGTATAGGATGGAGATGGAGAAAAGGAGAATGGAAATGATTCTTGAGAATCAGAGGAATCTGATTGATACTATAAATAGGGTCGTTGGATCGCATAAGAAAGTGAAGGTGGCTCAAGAATTTTGAACTCGTTCGTGAGATTTCTTGGGATGGAGATGGTTTTTATGCTAAAAAGAACAAAAAAGTTCATTAGAGGAAATTGCATTCGACTTGCATGTGTTAGGCATAAAACAATGTTCTTATTTAGGGATATCTTCATGCTTCTAACATTTTTGCCTTAATGATTCTTAGGAATTATTACAATTTATTTTGCTCTTTTAAGTAGGAATGTAGATTTGTTCTGTGGTAGAGTTCATATTTCCTGGAGGATTCTTGTAGACAAGATTTGAGTTAACATAAAGATATCCAGAATATCTGTAGTTGCTGTTGCACCTATAACAATGGAATAAGATGGATCCTTTTTCATTGTAAAGTTACTGATGCTTTCTTTCTGCTCATTTTCTAATAGGTTATGCTTTCTATTGGCATCTGCTGTGACATTCAAACTTGTTTGTATGACCCACAGCCCAGATCAAGAATATATTTTCTGTATATAATTGGAGGGATCTTAGAATTGGGGACGGTAACTGTTTGTGTTTTTTTAAAGTTTGGTTCTTGGTACCCTACGGTAGTATGAAATCGCCTTGTGACACTGAGTTTGATGCTTGCTTAAGACAATCTTACTTACAATCCAGTTGCCTAAACTTTTAGAGGAAGTGATTGTTAATTATTGCTCTTACTGCTAAATTTGCAGGCAGTTATTTACATCTCCTTGATATGGGATTAAGGATGGGTAGATTTTTCTCCATCTGCTATTTGGAATGGTGCTTTCTTGGAGTGTATATCATGTACTGTTGATGCAACTCTTCATTATTTCTGGGCAACTTTTGTAGATTATGTTCTATGTTCAAAGATTATGCGGAAATGAATAAGTGAAATTAATATGCAAGCTAGTCAAAGAGTTGAAATGCCATAATTGCTGACAGTTTTAGTAAGATCTTCAAGATTGCCTGGGAATTAAGATTTGACGTCCGAAATACTTAAAGAGCAATGCACCAAGTTTCAAGGAGTTAAGCTGTTAATTATTTTACGAGGAAAATGTCTTTTTATAGATTTTATACATCTTAGTTAATATGACTTTGCTGGAAGTTGGAATACAAATGTTTCATTGACCAGACTGGTAAGATCATGACAGATTCCTAATGATAGACAAATAACCTTAAAACAATCCGTCGAGTGGTGTGGCCAAGATCCAATTCTGCGTACTTAGAGTTCAGTCTTCCGAGGAGCTGTCCTATCTATATGCGCAATTGAATCCTGTTTCAAGATTTGCAATGCTAATAGGAAAATTACAAGAATTGCACAAGCTCCCAGGAGGGTGAGCAGTCATGACTGATGACTGTTATGACAAATATGAAGTATACACATGCCTAATATTTACAAGATTTTCCACAGCCTTTGGCCATAAAAATGATAGCTATCCCCTTGAATACAAAAAGGGCTATAATACAGGGGATGACCTATGGGGACAAAATCAAATAGGACCCCCCCTAGTGAGCAGGTGGAACAAGAGGCTTGAAGAAAAATGAGAGGTAATTGAAGGGGGGGAAGGGGGGAAAAAGAAGAGAGAGAGAGCCTGTACACCTACCTCTACATCGGTCCCTACCCTTCCTGAGGCCTCTAGGGCAACAAATACTATACAAAACACAAAATTTAAGCGGATGATCCTCTCTACGACAGCAAAACCTTGAATTTCACCATCATGTCCTGATGTGATGCCCTCAGGCACAACGAGCTTCGTCTGAACAATAAAATAAGCAAGAATGAACAACTTATACTATATATTATGCCATGTTGAAAATAGAATTAATCAAGAGCCTAAATTATCTCAACCAAAAACTAAGGGAAGTATTAAATCTAAAGCCTCATAAAAGCACATCACTACATTTAGGTGTATGGTATTATGAGTGGAAAGTTATGTTCCTTTGAAAGCATTTCAGTATCAACACCAGTTAATCGAGACCAAATAAAAATTACCTGTAAACTCCTGTTTCAAAGGCATGCCGAAGGAATTGACAAGCCGCGAAAAGAGCAATCCTTGATATTTTGAGTGTGCCTCAATCCGGTCTAGATTCGCTGTGTTTAGCAAACAAACTTCTATTCCCTGCTTGTAAAGCTTGAGCCTGATCTGAATGTTGCAATGGTGGTGGCTGATGGAGTTGTTGCTGGTTTGACTGGGGCTGGGTCACTGGTGAGGGAGGTTGTAACTCGGAAGACTCTTGCTTCCATTGAACACTAGCATCAGGCGCAATAGGAGAAAAGTTTCCAGAAGATTGCCTTTGGCTTATCCCTTGGATGACTTCTGGTACTGTCTCGCTTCCAGCAGAATTTGTTGGTGGGGTCCCAATTGAATCGAATGATGGGACTGCAGCCTTCATTTGAGCAACCCCTGGGACAGAAACCTCTGCGGCATTAGTTAAACTGTTGCAGTCCTGCGGGGGTGTTTTACCTATCTGTGAAGTGTCACACATATTATGCTGTTCACTTTGAGGTTCACTAGCTTGCAACTTTGGTGGATCAGAATTCAGTGACCGGTTCCGTTGCAGCCCTCCTTGCAGAGCTGCTTGACTTTGAGTCACCAACTTTGGCTGCAGTTGCACCTGCGGCTGTGGATGCATCAACATTCTGTGGTTGGAAGAACCTACAACCGAGGATGGAACAGATTGGTGGGGTGATTTAGGACCTAATACACTCGATGATGCAAGAGGTTGGATGGAGGGAATTTGCTGCTTTTTGGACGGAGGCACTTGGCCAGAATAAATCTTAGAGTGGGGTTGCTGCGGCTGACTCACCATTTGCTTTGCAGGCTGGACCAGGCTGCATCCTGGCCCTGAATACACTCCCTGACTTTGCAGTAACTTAGTGGTTTGCTCACCTTTCTCTGCAGATTGATTGACTTGCTCAGTAGGAAGGCCATCATCAATCTGCATGTTCTGATGTGTCATCATTTTCCCTCTCCCGATTCCCTTCGAAACTTTAGCTTGTTTTTGGGACTCTGACTGCTGGCGCTGTGGAAGATGGTGCCTGCTAGCATTTTGAAGCTGCTGCTGTCCTGTCTGATGTGGCCTTTGCTTGCCCATCTGAGTAGTTAAACTACTACCCCCAGTTTGCGCAGTTCGTCCAAGCCCATGAGCCGGAAATGGATGTTTTAGTTGATGCTGTGGCAATGGAGACATTGAGGAGGGGGATGCCAAAGGAGAATGTGATACTGGTGAAGAAGAAGATTGTGAAGTGATTTGAGGACTATTCTGCAATGAAGATATAGGAAGATGGGGCTGCGTATGTGAGAGTTGCTGCTGCTGCTGCTGTAAAAGCCGCTGTTGCAGGTGCCTCTCTCTAGCTAAGCGAATTGCATAAGCTTGATGCTGTGAGTTCGTGGCATGACTGGCCCCTTGAAGATGAGGATGATGAGGGCTATGCACAAGTGGTTGCTGTGAAGATATAGGATGTGCTTGCTGATGATGAAGTGGGCGTGATAAAACAGGTGAGGGGGCAGTCTGGTTAGGGAAAGAGGAACTTAACCCACCAAAAGGAGGGACTCCTTGGCTGTTTCCTTTCTGGAGCTCAGGCATTTGCCTCTGAGCTTCCTGATTCTGTGAAGGCTGCAAAAGCAGGATACATACAGTGTCATCAAACCAAAATCCCAAGGAGGTGAGAGTTAAAGTACACAGGCAGTGAATGCATCACATTACAGTTCCGAAAATCAGATATACAAACTATACCATCAGGGAGAGCAGAAAATGCAGAATACTTATGTCAAGCAACAATATGAAAATTATAGAAAAGCAAAATATGTCACAGGACACTAAAAAGTAAAAACTACATCCCTTCAGTATATAAAGGTGGATCCACTCTCCAATGGAAGTCATAAAATCTGCATCCAAGGGTATGGCCTAGTGGTCAATGAAGTGGGCGAGAACCATAAGGTCTCAGGTTCAAATTCCAGCGGAGGCAAAAACACTAGGTGATTTCTTCCCATCTGTCCAAGCCTTAGTGGATATAGTTACCTAATACCTGTAACCGGTAGGGGGTGGCAAGTATCCCGTGGAATTAGTCGAGGTATGCATAAGCCTGCCCGGACACCACGGTTATAAAAAAAAGTAGTGTCATAAAATCTAAGATTCTCAATGGAGCTCATCTAAATTTAACTGCCTTCACCTTCTCCATATTGTTTTTTCCTGATGTGGCAACAGCTTGATTTTTAACAGCATATCCTACTCCTCCTTTGCTCTCCGCGAGAATCCGAAAAAGAGCTCCACTTTTCAATGGGCATTAATCTATCAATTGTAAATGAACCTAATCGACAAACAATTCATATTGCAGGACATTCATGCTGGTCTAATTAAACTTCTTCAATTCACATGTCGTTCAACACAATCATTTTGACCCAGTTATAACTGCTTCAACAGTGTAGACCAAGCTGAAACCATGTTTCACATGGTAACACTGGTATAGTTAGGCTTGCCAGTTAAATAAGCCAGGCCAAAGAGCATACTGAACGCACAGGTGTTCTCTTATAAATTTATACTCTCTCCGTTTCAAAAAGAATGAACTTATTTGACTAGGCACGGAGTTTAAGAAAGAACGGAATACTTTTGAAACTTGTGGTCTAAAACAATTCATAGATGTTTGTGTAGCTATAAATCATTTTATTAAGGGTAAATTGGGAAGTTTAAAATTACATTGTTTCCAAATTTAGAAAGGGCTCATTCTTATTGAAACGGGATAAAAAGAAAATAGGTTCATCTATACTATATTAAAAGCACGAAGGCCCTTAGCGAAATGTCGTTCGCCTTTTTTACCCATTAAAAATAGATTTCACGCTAGACAAAATAGTCATTTACTTATTTCTCTAATTTTTAGAAGTAGGCATTGAATTATTTTCCTAATATTTAAGATTAGATATTTAATTATTTTTCTAATAATTAGTATTCTTTTAGGTTTAGACGATTTGAAGTCTTTTTTTCTCCTTTTGGCACAATAAATCCTTAACCAAAAATAAACTTCTACATAAATGTTTCCTTTGTGAACAATTTAGTACAAAAATAACTTCTATCAAGTAGTATCAACTTGACAAAAAATACGGAATATTCTGCATCGCCTTATAATGTGATTGGAGATTGATCGATCTATTGTTGAGTCCACATCAAAGTCTAACATATAAAATTATTACATGTACTCTTATCGCAAGTTAGAGTTGGTTTCCTTCAACCATATCATCAATACTTAACATTTGGTTCGTAAGTTCGGCCTTTTTTTTTGTATCTTTAGTTTTCCTTTGCTATGAAGTAAAAACTTGATTTTTTGTCTATATTAAACTCTTGTGTACTTTTCATATCGAATCTTGGTGTCTTCAAAATATTGATATGAGAAGACGTATTGATTATAGAATTTATTTGCTGGTTGATTCTCTATTTGTTATGGTTTATTAATTCATTAACGTCTATATATTTTCCAGATTCTTTGAAGCACTTGAGTGAAAATAGCATGTGTATTTTTTTCTTTTTTGTTTTTTATTCTGTGTGTGTTTTTCCTTTTATTTTTTATTTGTATTGATCATGAAATTTTCGAATTCTAAATGTCATGTTTATTTTAAGCATGTTTTAACCTGATAAAAGGTCCTGTCAAAACAAACGCTCAATTATTAAATTTTCTTCCTAAATTTACTATACAGACTAAACTGATAAAAGGATATTGATAGATTATATAACAATGCTTTACATATAGTGAAAAATCAATAATTACGATTATATTTAATCATAACTATTTATTGAAGTAAGATAAACAAAATGTATCTAAAGATACTTCCATTGAATCGAAATTATAAAGATGAGAGATATTTCATTACCTAATGAATCAAAATTACAAATTTTAAAGATGATAGATATTTTATTACCTAATGAATTTTAAAATTACAAAGATAAAAGAGAAAGATATTTTTTGGTATAAATTTGTAATGACTAATAGGATACGTCTCAAGCACTACTTTATATCTATTTAGTATAAAATAATATTAAAATATGGAACAATTTTTTAGTTGAAGGTAAATGATTAGTGATTGAGAACTTTTGTGGCAGTTTCTTCTTTTATTGAGTGATGTATATAGGATCAATATTTATTAGTTTTAGGAACATGTAGTATTATTTTATAACTCAAGCACAATATTTCAATATAATATTTATATGTTTTTTAAAATGTTGTTTACCACTTGAGGTAGTATACACGTGCAACGCACCTATCATAAGACTAGTTCTTTTTCAAACATGGGGAGTAATAACTATTATTCAAAAGTATCAAATCCTGTCAAAGAATCTCACTTCAGAACTTATTCAGCATAGATGCCTAAAGTCAGGGTTTACTGGTTAAAAAAGATGAGGAACTAAGTTAGGTCGTGAAATTTTTTGCAGAGAGGAGAATGTATTTTCACCTATCATTTCATAATGAAGTTTAACAAGCTCGAAGTTTTCATATATGAAATGAGTTAATAACTGCACTAACCTGAAGCAGAAAGTCAAGAAAACACAACCAACTATAGCTTTACCAATGGTGCGATAACAGATGTTAACCAGGGGAAAAGAGCAATTTGGAGCCAAAATTGACTTACCCGTATCATGTGCAAGATATCACGAGGTCTCAACATTGGACTCCCTTGATTAGAGCTCACTCCAGAGTGCATATTTACAGTGTTTGGCATTGCTACCATCCCAGAAGAAAGCATGCTCCCAGAATTCAGCACAGATGATGATGCAACTCCCTGAAACCCAGGCCTTGCCATTGGGATACCTCTATTTAACCCAGACATTGTCCCCATGCTGTTGCCGCTGGGATGTGTACGAGAACCACCACTATCACTGCCTGCAAGAGCTCCAGGAGCAGATATATTGGACTGCATATTTCCCACTGATAACATTTGATTAAATTGCTGCAATCTCTGATGCTCATCAACTGGAAAAGATGCAGATCTCGGAACAGCATATCTACCATCCCCGGGAGTATGATTACCCACATCAGCACTTGATGAGAAAATGACAGGAGCCAATACATAGTTTTAAGCTTAAACATTCAATACCTGACAGATGCATTTAGCGGACTTGATGATGATGGAAAGTTGTTTCCAAGAACCATATTGGGGGATCCTTGCACTCCAGAATTTGCACCAGATGCAGGGACCAATGGTCCTCCACCCTGACTCGAGATAGATAACCCACTTGAGTGTGGACCTTCAAATCCAGCAGAAAGAAAGTCTGGACTAGACGAAGGTGCATCACACAGATCCAGAGGCCTTCATTAAACCAAAATAGTGGACCAGAAGAACAGGGGAAAAAGAGTTAACATCCAAGCTTCAGTTTGGCCGAATAGGAAAAGGCCGACTTCTGGATTACACTCAAGATAAACTTACGTAAGAATAGGTCCTCCATTCAGATTATTTGAACAATGCTTGGAAAGAGCAAGCATGTGAGAATCGTGTGGTTGCTGGAGTTGCTTCAAATCATGGTTACCACCCTTCATTAAAAAGAAACTACACATTATAATCACTTAGAACTCATAAGTATATAAAGCAAATATAAAGAGAACAAGAGGTTAACAACTGTCTGTACACTTAGATATTTGAAAAAATGAATCCAGTACTCTTCCCCTAATGCTGCAAATATTTACTTTGTTGTCCAACTATACCCAATTCTCCAACATACACTAGGATAAGCGAAACTGGGAAAGAGTAATCGACGATCCTATTACGCTGATTTCTCCACAACAATTTTGATATCTTCGTACCAAAATCTGAAAACTAAACATGATATGTCTAGCCTCCAAGGGGTGGCCTGGTGATCAACGAGTTGGGAATAAACCTTAGAAAGGTTCGAATCCCAACAGAAGTGACACTAGCTTAAGTCTTCCCATCTATTTAAGCCTTAGCAAACACACTTAGCCGGTACATATACATGTGATGTGAGTAGGGTACGCAATTGATTAGTCCAGGTATACACAAGTTAGCAAAGACACCACCGTTATTAAAAATTTCAATGTCTATGTCAGAATGTAAATTTTCCAGTACTTAATCACAGCGAATAATACGATAAGGTTGGAGTAAAAATTTCCAGTACTTAATCACATCGAAATGAGTTGAAAGTATATTCTCCAGCAAAATAAGTTATCGCGATAAGGCTTTTCCTTTTTATTATATACAGCTCCGCAAGCACGGCGTACGACACTCACTCACTCCTTTGCCTGGGCAAGATCTGACAACTCCTGCCCAAAGATGAGGGGTTACAAATTCAGATTAGCTATAGCCAAAGAGGCCAACGCTTCTGCTTTATCCAAAGAAAGATCCTCTTCCTTTTTCTCTTCCTGATCAGCGCGCTAAGGCTTACGTAGTTGATTCGATCAGATAACCCTTCAGGGAAGCAACCAAACCTGGCGCATCCAATTCCCTTCCAATCAACAACTTGCTTGAATATGTCAAACCTAAAGGAGGAGTAACTTCTACAGCATATTGAGCATACCTTCAACTGATCCATAGACAACGACCATCATTAATAACAACTATAATAGTTTATCCAATTATGATTCCTTGAAAGTATATAAACCAATCTGCCTATTCTATCAAATCAGGAAAGACATATTTCAATCATTCAGAATCAAAGGTTTTAAAACTAGTGACAGCATCTAGATTAACAGAAAAAACTCTATGGGAAGCATCAGAGCACCATTAAGGATCTATCTGGACAGCTTTTTGAAAGTCTTTTAGAAAAGAATGTTTGTATAACTAAACATCCAAGAATAGTTGTCGTTTTTGAAGATTTGCAAGTGTTCTATGAGTAGAAGAATACTTTTTCTTTTAGAAAGTCTTCGAATTTTTTTTTGGCAAGAAATTTTTACAAAAACTTAAACAAACACGTTTCCGGAAAAAAAAGTTTGCAAGATTCCCAAAGAAAAAAAAACACTACAGACAAACGCAACCTTTAACTCTAATAGTTTGTAGTCAAAAGTTTTAAAACTTGTGGCAGCATCTAGATTATTCTTATTTGGAAATATGCCAAAATTTAAGATAGTTGCTGTTTCCTTTTCTGTAACACAGGAAAAAAAAGAAAATCATCAATATCTGCACGACAAGGCAGGTACTAATGATACCATGTCAGTTTCTTCCTCAATTGATGGGTTGACCTATAGCATAATAATTGAAAGCATATAACGCAACAAGTTTTCAAGGAAGAATATCCCTAACTAACCTTCGCAAAGGATATAAAATTGTAGGCCAGTTTGCATGTTACGAAATCTTAGGTCACTTTGCATGTTATAAAATGTTACGCCACTTCTCCGAACTAAGACAATTTTGCTAACACTTCATTTCTTAATTTCCTAATTAAAAAATAATTTAATCTTCATAACAAAAGTTAAACCAGGAGCTGAATTTATTAGACTTCCGACGACCAACAGAACATATTGTGCATATTTGGGACATTAAAAACCTAAACTATGGCAGAGACTAGACTAAATTATAACAAATCACATTTTGCAACCCTACAACGCTGACCAATGGTTGCTAAAAAGGCTAAACTGGCAGGCTAGAACTGTTAATTTACCTATAATAGCCAAGACACAATTTATAGATAAATGCTAGTGCAAGAACATACCTGAATCCTCCGTAAAAGATATTTCTTCCCAATCAAGATGATCTTCTCAAAATGAGATTTGAGTGTATCCTCTTCCATTGGCCCCTGCAAACGCTGAAACAGCTGTCTAGCACTTCCCTGCATGTGTTGATTCAAACTGATTTATAAAAAGCTTTGAGCTCAAGGGAACAACGGAAGTAAACAAATATTGAACCTTGGGAATGCCAGGTAATGTTGAAGGATATGGTTGAGAAGATCCTGAATCTTCAGCACTATCAGCGGCATCACCACTAGTTCTGTCCATAAGTATTTTATGACGTTCCTTGCATTCATTAGGTTTGCGATATATACACTGCATGAATTGAGCATGACTGCTTAAAAGCAGTGGAAAGGTAATAAAAAGCCATGATAAAAAAGAAACATTAAATACAATAAAGAACGCCAAGATGGGGTAAAAGCGAGTTCTGTGTACGTCTAGGCAAAAGATGGTATGACACATAATTACCGCTCACCTTGAATTGCAAGGTACTGTTGATGGCATCACTTACAAGCTCCCAATTTGGACCCATGTCGTGCACCAGGACAACAAGTGCCTAATTTGAAGTCAATTCCTTTTATATGCATGCTAGCCAAAAGAACTACAGTAGGAATAAGCAGAAGAAGGTTCATATCATATGCATAAAAAACCAACCTGGTCCTCAAATAGTGACCATGGACTTCCTGAACCTGGTTGTCCTGCAGGCATCTGCATGAGAATGTAGATGATCAAATTTGTTTTCCAGATATGATCTAATATATTTTTCTTTAATCAGCTAACCCTCCAAACCGGCATCCATGCAAACAAATGGGCAAAATTGAAAGAAGGAAAGAGATTGTAGCTGAGATAAACTTAAGTACCTTCAAAGTTTTGGCTTTCCTATTCCGGTCCCTTCCACTAAGCATCCTAATAAGTTTATTCGGGTTGGACATGTTACTCATCTGGGAGGCAACTGGAGATGGAATAGATCCACCAATAGGGGCATTATTCTCGAAAGAATTTTCAAGTGATTGCCTCAGCATCTTTGGCTTCTTTGCATTATGTTGACCAAATAAACCTTCAAAATGTAGACAGCCCTTAACATGACAAGAAACACACTCCATATCAAGCTCTAAATTCGATGCAAGTTAGAATAAGCTATACCGCTGCTACCGTTTGATTCAAGTTGATGGCTCTCCAATCTCTTTCTGGAAGGATCTCTCTGAAACTAAACAGTTCATGATGAATTCAACAAGTATTACATTAAATGTTACATCAAATACACATAGACCATCGACTAAATACGCTACAAAAGAATCTGGTATCAGGAAAATGTGCATTAACAATCTCATTCTTAAAATATGGGCTACCAAAACTGACAGCTCTTGAATTGCATCAAGAGGTAATATCACATCTTCTCTAACATACTTTAGTCTGATTCGCCAATTGCTCAAGACATTTACTACATTGTGTTTCCTATAACCTCAGTCCCAAAGAGAAAACAAGGAAAATGGGATGGAGAACTCTTTCCAGAAAGCAGTCTAGAAATCTCATTACATTTGAGTACGCTTTTGAAATCGAATTTTAGTTTAAGTATGGTGCTGTCCCTTGTTGGGTTGCCGTAAGAGTTTGAATTGAACTTATGAATAACTTCTGACTAATCTAAACAGCAGAAATCATTTGGCTCCCAAACAAGGCTTCCATAGTAAAAGAGGGCATACAACTAATATTCAGAAATATGGGCATAAAATATATGGTTCCCAGCCATGTGCAAAGGCACCGTAGCATTCATTCTAACCTTGTTTAATCTGGAGAATCCAGGTATGTTTATGTAAGAAAACAGCTCATTCAAATTCCTTAAGATAAGATGTAGAAAGACTTACCAAGAAAAGATAAAATGACAAACATGAAACTACAATAGAGCCCCCATCAAAAGAGGAATAAGAAAATACGCACACGGACACATAGTGATACATCAACAACCCAGCAGATCAGAGAAAAAGGGGGTAGTTGGTTCCAACTTGGACAGGAATTTGTGGAAAAAGAGAACAAGATTGAAAAAATGATCACGAATGTTAAGAAATAATACCCCATGCTAACGAAAAAACTACAGAAAAGGAAGAAAAAGATTGAAGCACTATGTTAAAAGAAAACAACTCAATTATAAAGTTATTCTAAGGCAGCAATTAGTGGATCATTTCCTAATAGAGGTCTAACTAGCAAGTTCAGTATCATCAAAGGGACCTACACATATCACCTAAGGTGCCTAAGCACCCGTAGGCTCTGCAAAAATTTGTGCTTGAGTTCGGATTTACTAAGAACGGAGTTCAAGTTTATTTCAACCAGGACTCATCTTCTCCTTTTTCCTTTTTACTTTTCTTCTTTCTTGTTTTTTCAACCAGTAGGACCCCTCTACTTTTATCTTTTCTTTGTTTTCTTCTTTTCTTTTAAAGTCCTTTTGTAGTTTTTTGTCTTTTCAACAAGCAAAACCTCTTTTTTTCTTCTCTTTTCTTTTCCTCCATTCTTGTTTTCAGTCTATTCTACTCAAAAATCCCTTCAATATTAACAAAAAAGTCGACCCCTTTTCATTTTGCAAGACAAAGATTGAATTCTTCAGAATTTGAGATAAATAAATATATCAACAATTTAAAGGTCAATTAATTTAACTTAACACAAAACGTACCAAAATTGAGTTATTCATTTCATCAAATCATCTAATTGATAGAGGAACTTGCTTGGCTTCTTATTTTTTCTATTCAATATTTGTGAATAAAGAGAGAGAAAATCGAACTTATTGTTATTCTGTAAGGGTTAAGCTAATAACATGAACAGAAATTTATCCAAAACTGACAAACCCAACAAAATGCACGGCCTTATCGGGTTTCTATGGCAAATGATAGATTTAGACTAAAAGTGGTGGTGCATTAGTGACTTTGAAATCCTTGGTCCGCCTCTGAATATCATCACATTTCAGTGGATTACTGAGTCTCAATGTTGAAAGGAAAAAGGAAATTACCTGGTTGGTTTGATAATTAGAATCAACATGCCATCTCTGCCCATATGCAGAACCCTGCAACAATGAGAATGCAAACAACAGCTGGCAATCTTAGAAAAGGTGCACGGCATATAATTCAAATTTCTTAATTAATCTTCTGAGACATAGCAACTTGTCAAGTACCAGATGCTTTGCTTTTTTCTTCTTTTTAGGTTTTGATACTTCAGCAGAGTCGAACAATAAATGCTTTTCATAGTCACCCACGGATTCAACTTCCAAGCTATTCATATGGGATCCACCATGCAATGTACTGTGATCATCCTGAAATGAACCGCTATCACCACTTGAAGCATCTGTTTTGGTTGGAAACTGAACACATCCAGCTGTTGATGCACCGAAGGGACTAAGAACTCTCTGCCTAGAAGCAGTACGCACACGCTTGGTTGGAATAGACACATTAACATTGCTTGCTGGTCGTTTCCCCAGCAGCATAGATTGATGAGGGCCAACTCTATTTT